AGAGTTTGGTTCATGAGGTTTAAGGAAAGAGCCATCTCCATAACATAAAAGTGCAAAGTGAAGGAGCAGGTGCTGATGTAGATGCTACGGCAAGTCATCCAGAGGATCTAGCTAAGATAACTGATCAAGGTGGCTACAGCAAATAGCAGATTTTCAGTGAAGATGAAACCACCTTCTGTTGGAAGAAGATACCATCTGGGAGTTTCATAGCTAGAGAGAATAAGTCAGTGCCTGGCTTCAAAGGACAGACAGATTCTCTTGTTAGTGACTAATGCAGCTGGTGACTTTTAAGTTGAAGTCAGTGCTCATTTACCATTCTGAAAATCTAGGGCTCTTAGGAAATTATGCTAAATTGACTCTGCTTGTGCTATTATAAATGGAACAACAAAACCTAGAAGACAGCACATCTGCTTATAGCATGGTTTACTGAATATTTTAAGACCACTGTTGAGATCTGCTGCTCAGAAAAAAAAAGATTCCTTTCAAAATTTTACTGCCCATTGACATTAGACCTAGTCATCCAAGAGCTCTGGTGGAGATGTAAAAAGAGATTAATGTTTTCATGCCTGCTACCACAGCATTTATTCTGTAGCCCATGGATGAAGGAGTAATTTCAACTTTCAAGTCTTACTGTTTAAGAAATATGTTTCATAAGGCTATAGCTGCCATAAATGGCGATTCTTCTGATGGATCTAAGCAAAGTAAATTGAAAACCTTCTGAAAAGGATTCACCATTCTAGATACCATTAAGAACATACATAATTCACTGGAGGAGGTCAAAATATCAACACTAAAGACTGTTTGCAAGAAGTAGATTCCAGCCCTCATGAATGACTTTGAGCGGTTCAAGACTTCAGTGGAGGAAGTAATAGAAGAGAACTAGAATTAGAAATGGAACCTGAAAATGTGACTGGATTGCTGCAATTTCACAATAAAACTTGAATGGGTAAGGAGTTGCTTCTGATGTATGAGAAAAGAAACTAGTTGCCTGAGATGAAACCTACTAGTGAAGATGCTGTGAACACTGGTGAAATGACAAAGGACTAAGAATATTTCATAAACTTGGTAAAGTAGCAGCAGGGTTTGAAAGGATTTACTTAAATTTCAAAAGAAGTTCTGTGAGTAAAATGTTATCAAACAGTATCACATGCTACAAATTCTTCATGGAAGGAAGAGTCAATGTGGCAAACTTCATTGTTTTATTTTAAGAAATTGCCACAGCAGCTGCAGCTTTCAGCAACCATGACCCTGATAGTCAGCAGCCAGTAACATCAAGACAGGATCTTCCACCAGCATGGGAATGTAAACTGGTACAACCACTATGGGAAAAAATACGTGGAAATTCCTTAACTAACTAAAAGTAGAACTACCATTTGAAAATTCTAACAGTCTCACTACTGGATATCTACCTGGAGGAAAAGAAGTCATATGAAAAGGATAACTTGCACACACACATTTATAACAGCACAATTTGCAATTGCAAAAATGTGGAACCAGCCCAAATGCCCATCAATCAACAAGTGGATAAAGAAACTGTAGTATATATGTGTGTGTATATATGATGGAATAGTACTCAGCCATAAAAAGGAATGAGTTGATGGCATTCGCAGCAACCTGGATGGGATTGGAGACTATTCTAAGTGAAGCGACTCAGGAATGGAAAACCAAACATATGTTCTCACTCATAAATGGGAGCTAAGCTATAAGGATGCAAAGGCATAAGAATGATACAAGGGACTTTGGGGACTTTGGGGCAGAAGGGTGGGAAGGGGGTGAGGGATAAAAGACTACAAATTGGGTTCAGTGAATAGTATTCGGGTGATGGGTCCACCAAAATCTCACAAATCGCCACTAAAGAACTTACTCATATAACCAAATACCACCTATTCCCCAAAAACCTATGGAAGTAAAAACATTTTTTAAAAAAGATCTTTAACCAGCAAAAAGACTGTAAGTCACTGAAGACTCAGATGATCGTATTTTTAGCAATAAAATATTTTCATATTAAGGTATGTTCATTTTTAAAACAATGCTACTGCACACTTAATAACAGTATAGTCATAACTTTAGAGTGCAGTAAACAATAATTTATAGGCACTGGGAGACCAAAATATTAGCATGACACTTTATTTCAGTACTCACTTTATTATGGCAGTCTGGAACTGAACCTACAGCATCTCCAAGATATGCTTATATTCCCTATTTGGCTAGGGAGATAGCAGTTGCACATTTTAGTGAATGCTTTTTCTGCATGTCATATGATTTTTTTCTTTTGTTCATGTGGCCGTTTATTTATTTTTTGGGACAGTCTCACTCCATCACCCAACCTAGAGTGCAGTGGCATGGTCTCAGCTCACTATAGCCTCTGCCTCCCAGGCTCAAGTGATTCTTGTGCCTCAGCCTCCTGAGTAGCTGGAATTATAGGTGCACATCACCACGCCCAGCTAATTTTTGTAATTTTATTAGAGACAAGGTTTTGCCATGTTGTCCAGGCCAGTCTCAAACTCCTAATCTCAAGTGGTCCACCCACCTTAGCCTCCCAAAGTGCTGAGATTATAGGCGTGAGCCACCGCGCCAGCCTTGTGTGGTAATTTATTAGCGTTAAACCAATCTTGTCTTCCAGGAACAAACCCAGCGTGGTCACTATATATCTTACATATAATATACTGAGTTTGGTTTGTTACTATTTTGTTTTAGGACTTTTCCATTTATGTTAAAGACTGAGATTAACTTTATCTAATTTTATTATCAAGGTTATTTTGCCATTATAAAATGGGCTTGGGAATAGATTTTAAGATTTTGGATTTGATGCTTTTTTATGGCTCTACAGAAATTACTCATATTGCCTTTAATTTCCCTAAACATAATGAGCCTAGTTATTTTAAAGGGTTATGTTAGATAATCCTCTTATAGGGATCTTCTTTTTGGAGTTGATTTTATAGTCTGTTGGTTACGGTGATGTTCATTCAAGCTAACAGAATCTCTTCATATGTCTAGTTATTTTCGAGTGCTAAACAGTGTATATGAAATCTCGTTATTTCTCTCCAAAGAAGATTTATGATTGTGTCAGTCAGAAAGCTGGAGTCAATAGCATCTCAGATTACCTTAATCCATTTTCAGGGATTGAAGTGGTTTTAAATTGGGTTTCAGACATCACAAAAGTCAATTTGTAGTTGGCCTTTACTAGAAAAGGGGGAAGGATGAACAGGTAATCACCAAAGGATTATTAGTAAAATTTACAGTTGACTTCACAGCATAAACAATGGAAGCCAGAAGACAATGGACTATTTTTTAATTTTAATTATAATTTTTTAAGTAAGTAATATTGCAATAAAATATCTAGTTCTTACCAGCTCTGAGTTCATTGGAAACTCTGTTCTGTTTCTCAGCCTCTAAATGTCCTCTTCCAGAATTGGTAACTGGCCCTGGGAAGAAACAAACCCAACTGCCAGATTCAACTCTCCAAGATTTCGGGCCCATGATTCATAATTCCTCACCACATTTTTGTCTCTGCAGGTCTTCGAAGAAGGTGTTTTATTTGTTCAGCTTTTCCCTAATCTATCATTAGAAGTTGAACAACTCCTGCATTTCTTTGGGGGAGAGTAAGGGGAAATGGAGTTCTTGCTCATTCACTCAGGCTGGAGTGCAGTGCTATGAACATAACTCACTGCAGCCTCAAACTCCTAGCTCAAATGATCCAGTCTCAGCTTCCCGAGTAGCTGGGGTTGCAGGTGCATACCACCACACCTGACTTCCTGAATCTCTCTCTCTCTCTGTGTATATATATATTTAACAGTTTTGTGTTAAAATTTGTAATTTGGTCTCCTCAGACATAATTAAGTAAAATCTGTCCATTCAAAATCTGGAGTACCTGTGGGTATCTTTCTGTCAACTATATATTCATTCTCATTCTTATTTTATTGTGTACCTGATTGTTCATGGAGTATTTGGTGGAAGTAATGATTTCAGAGTAATTTGAGACTTACGATAATGTTAACTTCCTCTGGAAAGGGTTTGTGTTTGCTTTTTTAAGACACCTGGGGGCCTAGAAGGCCAGGCCCAGAAACTGTTAAAAGCACTCTATTCAGTCATTCAGCTTCCTCTTCCGGAACTGGCAAATGATCCAGAGGAAAAACTTCCCTAAAGCTAATCTCACCTCTCTGAGTTTATGTATTCTCTAATCTTTTTTTTTTTTTGAGACAAAGTCTGGCTCTGTCGCCCAGGCTGGAGTGCAGTGGCGTCATCTCGGCTCACTGCAACCTCCACCTCCCAGGTTCACACCATTCTCCTGCCTCAGCCTCTCAAGTAGCTGGGACTACAGGTGCCCGCCACCACGCCCGGCTAATTTTTTGTATTTTTAGTAGAAATGGGGTTTCACCATGTTCGCCAGGATGGTCTCGATCTCCTGACCTTGTGATCCGCCCGCCTCGGCCTCCCAAAGTGCTGGGATTATAGGCGTGAGCCACTGCGCCCGGCATATTCTCTAATCTTAACCCATTAATTCCTTAATGCTCTGTGTGATCTTAATATCCTCACACTTTTTTATTTTCTGTGGGAAAGTTAGTCTAAATTACTTGGTCTTTTTTTCCTGTGAAGTGGACGTCATCATATAACTTTTTTATAAAGCAATCATTACTATTAGTTTTTCCAGCCTTATTAGTAAAAAATTTATGAAAGGCAGCATGGGAGTAGTAAAACACTACAGGCCTGGTTACTGAACAAACCTGGGTTTAAGTCATGACTCAATTGTTTACCACTTATTAACTTACTAATTTTTCAGTTGTTTCTCATACACGCACACACACACACACACACATATCACATCACAGAATGGCTGTAAGACTGTGGGTTAAAATATGTAAAATCCTTACCAAAATGCCTTTGTACAGGTACTTAACTTTGTGTTACCCACTATCCTCTTACTGTACCCCTACTTCCATACCTACCCCATAATATTTGTCTTGCTCAAAATTTGAACTTCTCCTTTTTATTTCCCTCAGGTGATTCTAGTCACAAGATTCCTATTTCAAATTTTGAACGTGGGCATAACCAAGCAACTGTGTTACAAAACCTTTATAGATTTATTCATCCCAACCCAGGGAACTGGCCACCTATCTACTGCAAGGTAATTTCAGGTTAAGAAGTACTTTTAAGATATCAATTTATAATACCAAAAGATCCATAAAACAAAGAATTTTTGCCGTGTATTTTTGTCTTGTGTGTCTTAAACACACATTCATTTTGAATTGTTTTGAATGTAATTAGGTGTAGTGCCTATTTTTAAAATGTCTCCAATTTTGGAGGGATTTTGAAGACTGCAAAAGCTAAACGTATTTCTATTTTGGTAGAGTTCATGTTGTCTGAGTTCTTCTTTCTGAAATATCTGCAATATCTTTTTACCCTTAAGAATGGATACTCCATTCTGTACACCTATCTTACCAAACAAGATTACCTTTTCTTCAAAACTATCTTTGTGGCAATCCTTTCCTTCTTTCTTTGTAATGTTTAAAGAGATGATATTCTTCGAGGCTTGGAGTTGAAAAGTGGACTTTAACCTTGCTACTTAGTATAACCATGAGGTGATTATCTGATCTTTTTCTGAACATTGGTTTCTTCATTTGCATACCCTAGGTCTCCCTTGCTTCTCATAAAGTATCTTAACATTTCTGTATAAATATGACTAATAATAGCTGTAGTCTTTTCTAATATATGTCAATTTTTTATAGTTTTCATTTTGTTGGCACAAACTCTTCAGTCTTTCTCCTGTGCCCGCTACCTCCCAACCCCCACATTTTGAAAGTACAGCATTATAAGTCATTCAAAGTAGGAGAAGATACAAGTAGCTTTTTGTTTTGTTTTGTTTTGTTTTTTGCTTTCTCCAGTCTGATGATAGAACAAGAGTCAACTGGTGTTTGAAGCATATGGCAAAGGCATCAGGTAAGTAAAACTCTGGGTTGCTGCAGAAGTGCGTTATAATTAATATCTGTGTTTGTTTCTACTTTGATATCTTCCGAGTATCTAAATTTACTAATTGTATGTGTTTTTCTATTTACTCTGAAAGAAATCAGGCAAGATCTACAACTTCTTACTGTAGAGGACCTTGTAGTGGGGATCTACCAACAAAAATTTCTCAAGGAGCCTTCTAAGACTTGGATTCGAAGCCTCCTAGATGTGGCCATGTGGGATTATTCTAGCAACACAAGGTATTGCTAGCATTTTTGTTTGAGTCATTTTGACTTCTTTTCTAAACTGGGAAAATATGGTAGGACTTTTTTACCTTTTTATGCAATATTTTCCGACGAAAGCTTGGAATCATTGTATTTCCTTGAATATAAGATTTCATTGATAGTAAGATACATTGTTACTTGTGTATCACTAAAAACAAACCTGCCAAATAAACTGTTCTTTCTTATCACTTAGAATTTCTATACTGATGAAAGAATGTCCTTAGATTTATTTAGAGAGATGTTTATTACATAGAACTCTTGTACTTACATGTAAAAGAATATATAAGTGAAATCAATTGGCAAAAGTTTTTTATTTTGAGATAATGTTACACTTACAGAAAAGTTGCAAAAATATTACAAAGTTTACTATTCTGTTTCCTTAATTGCTAACATTTTAATACATTTTCTTTATAATTTTGTTTCTAAATATATATACACTTTTTCAAAATCACTTCAGGGTAAGTTGCTGTCATTATGCATCTTTATACCAAAATACTTCAATATGTGTTTCCTAAGAATAAGAATGTTTAGTCTACAGCCATAGCACCCTGAACACGCCTGATCTTGTCTGATCTCACAAGCTAAGCAGGGATTGGCCTGGTTAGTAGTTAGATGAGAGACTGCCTGGGAATACCGGGTGCTGTAGGCTTTTACTGTGTGTGTGTGTGCGCGCACGCATGTGTATATAGAACATTTATATTACCATAGTGTAATGATCAAAATCACGATATTGAATATAGGATGCAATACTATTATCTAATCTGAAGACCATATTAATATTGTATTAGTTGTTCCACTATGTCTTTTATAGCCAAACAAATTCTAGAGTCCAGTCCAAGACCACATGTTGCACTTAGTTATTTATCTCTTTAATCTGGGAAGTTATTTATCTCTTTAATCTGGGACAGTTCCTCAGTCTTACTTTGACTTTCATGATCTGGATATTTTTGAGTACAGGCCAGTTATTTTATAGAATGTTTCTCACTTTTAGTTGATCGGTATTTCCTCATGGTTAAATTGAGATTATGCATTTTTGGCAGGAATACCACAGAAGGGATTATGTGCCTGCTCAGTGTGTCATATCTGGAGGCATGTGATGTCAGTTTATCCCATTACTGATGATAACTTTGATCACTTGTTTAAGATAGTACCTGTCAATGTTTCTCTCTTGGAAAGTTACTGTTTTTTTTACCATATATATATATATATTTTTGTTTTTTTTTTTTTGAGACAGAGTCTTGCTCTGTCACCCAGCCTGGAGTGCAGTAGCGTAATCTCAGCTCACTGCACCCTCCACCTCCCAGGTTCAAGCAATTCTCATGCCTCAGCCTCTCGAGTAGCTGGGATTACAGGCACCCACCACCACGCCCAGCTAATTTTTGTATTTTTAGTAGAGAAGCGGTTTCACCGTGTTGACCAGGCTAGTCTTGAACCCCTGACCTCACGTGATCCACCCGCCTCAGCCTCCCAGAGTGCTGGGATTACTTGCATGAGCCACTACTCCTGGCTTTTTACCATATAATTAATAAATATTTTGTGGGGAAATACTTTCAAATTGGGTAGGTATTCTCTTCCTCAAACTTTCATATACAAATTTTAGTATCAAGTGCTGACTTTTGCCTGAGTCAGTTATTACTATCATTGTGAAAGGTGATTTTTCTTATTTGATTGTTCCTTCTGCATTTATTGGTTGGCATTCCACTGTAAAACCAAAAAAAGTTTCTCCTTTTTACCCATTTTTTTTTCATTTATATGAGCATGGACTCATGGATTCTTATTCAATACATTTTAATCTATTATTGTAATTTATTTTTATGATCAAATTGTTCCATATATGGCCAGCGGGAGTACCTTCAAGCAGGGGTTTGTGTGTCCTTTTGACATTGCTTCATTGCTTTCTATCTAACAGTGCTTCTTTGCTTTCTATTTGGCACAATATGTTACAGGCTTATCTTGTACTTTCTCTGTTCCAGCCCTGGATTAGCCATTTCTCCCAAGAATCTCTGGTTTCTTTTAGTGGAGCATAAGAGTTAGGAGATAGAATCTGGGTGGTAGATGTGCTCATTTCTTACTAAAGTGTCATTGATTCTATATCCCTTTAGTAGAGAGCTAGGAAATATATGTGTGTGTGTGTACACACTCTCCATACATATCTGTTTGTAGCTAGGTCTGTCAGTCTTTTTATCCATCTCTGTCTTACCATGAGTTCACACTTAACCTGTTATTTCAATCCAATACCATAGAGTTCTCTAGCTTTTTTACTTTTTAAAAAATTTCCTTTCTCTAAGAATGAGAACCCTGGCTGTCAGTATTTTTTAGAATTATATGGTACCATTATTTTTTTAAAAAGACATACAACTGTTTAGAGTTTGTTTATCATTGTTTATAGTCTGAAAGTATATAGTCGAAATACTTTGTTCAGAAGTTATTTAGGTTCTTTTTTCCCCTTTTAGTACAAATTACTCTTTTGGAATATATTAATAGTTAAGTTCATTTGCTTGTTTGTATTCCATGTTCATATTCCATTTTTGCTAATTTAGCTTTTGAATGTCTGATGCATTTCCATTTTGTAAACAAAAATAATATTCAAGAGAACTTTATTCTTGTTTCATTAAAAAAAAGCTTGTTAGGATTGCATTAAATTTATAAATTAACTTGGGGATAACTGAAATATTTATAGTATTGAGTTGTTTCCAAAGATTGAGACATCTTTCCATAGTTCAAATCTACTTTTGTGTCTTTCAAATATGTTTTAAAATTTTTCTCACACAGATTGTGCATCTCTGGGACTGGCGCATTTTTGTAGGAGCAGTTCCTTGATAACTTTTTCTGTTTTTTTATGGAAATTGATTTTATTAGGCTTTCTAATTTTAATGAGGTAAATTTTGGTAATCTGTATGTTTCTAGAAAATGGTACATGTTATATAGCTTTTCAAAGTTATTTGTTTAAAGATCTGCAAGGAAGTGTGGTATCTTAAAATTTTTTTAAATTTCATCTGTTTCAGTGGTTATCTTGTCATTGTATATTTGTGCACTCTCATTTTTTGTAAGCAAGTGTGTTGTCTACAATAGGATTTTAATTTATTAGACCTGTTTTTCTATTCTCTTCCTAATTAATTTTTGCTGTTATTCTCTTTGTACGTTGTTGTTTTTCTAGTTTTGGGGGCTGGAAATGTAATTTATTTATCTTTTGCCTGATTTTTTAATGTGTTTAGTAGAGTGAAGTTTCTCTTAATCATTGTTTTCAATGAATTACATAGATTATTGCATGCCATATATTCATTGCCATTTTAAATAAATTATGTCATTTTAACTCTCAACTACCATCTCTTTAAAACAAGGCTTTTACATGTCCAAGTGAAAAGGACTTTCTGCATTTTGTTTCTTTTAGTAAATTCCAGTGCTTTTACATTGTGATCAGAAAGCGTTTATAATATTTTTACTTTATGGAAGTTACTGGTATTTAAGGGTTTTTTTTCTGACTTAATATTATAATCAATTTTTGTGACTGTTCTCTTGGCATATGAGAATATACTTTCTTTTCAGGATATAGCATTTGAGATCCACACACATACATCATCTACATTGATTGTATTGTTTAGATTTTCTTTAGTTGTATTTTATATTTTCATTAGTTATATTTTATCCAGTTGATATATCTTGTGTTGAGAGTAATCTCCTGTTATTACTGTGTTTCTGTCTGTGTTTCATTGCATTTCCTGTAGTTGTAAGCTGCCTGCTGTGATATTTGATGCCTTAAAAGTTAAAGTTTGCTGAACCTTGATACAGTAAATTGATCAGGGGCTCATGGAAGAGTATTCCCTGTGTTCTTGAACATTTAAAACTTTTTCTAATGGTTTACACCGTATTTCCTTGAGTTTCTAGAAAATGCCACTTCATTTTATGGCTTTGTGTGTTCCTTTTGTGAAATTTGGTCAATTAATTCTCTTGGCCTTAGTTATTTTGGCCTTAGTTATGTGATCTTTTTGACTGGAGTTAGTTGATCATTTTGCCTGGAGACAACCTTAGTCTTTTTTCATTTTTAAAGTCTAATACTGTTGCTAGGATATTTCTCTGAGTTTATATGCAGGTCCATTTTCTGAGACATTTGGTGAGCCCCTTCAATATGCAGAATCAGGTTCTATTTCTGGAGATTTTTTTTTAGATCATAGTTTAATATTAGTTTTGTTCCACTGCTTAATGTTTCTTCTTGAAAGGAGTCCAATATATATGTATGTTTGATCTTCTTTGCCTTTCAGTCACTTTTTCTGACGCTTTTTACTTTGTTTATTCTCATGATAGTTTCTGCTTTCTTCAGTTTCTCTTATTAATTTTACAAATGAATCTGTTCAACCTTGGGCAGTTGGTAATTTAGTTCTTTTCTGTAATGTTTTTGTCTTTTTTTCCCCTCTCTTTCCTGAGTTAATTTCTTCTTTTTTGTTTATTTCTGTTTCTAGTTTTGAAGTTTCTCATTCAGGGTGTGTTTTTATATTCTCATATGCTTTTTCAGGATATTTAATTTAACATGGAATGGTAACTGATACGGTTTGACTCTATGTCCCCACCCAAATCTCATATGGTTTGGCTCTGTGTCCCCACCCAAATCTCACCTCAAATCGTAATCCCTGTAACCCCCACGTGTCAAGGGTGGGACCAGGTCGAGGTATCTGGATCATGGGGGCAGTTCCCACATGCTGTTCTCATGAGATCTGATGGATTTAATAAGCATCTGGCATTTCCCCTGTTTGCATTCATGTCATCCTGCTACCTTGTGAAGAAGGTGGGTGCTTCTCCTTTGCCTTTCCCATGATTGTAAATTTCCTGAGGCCTCCCCACCAATGCAAAACTGTGAGTCAGTTAAACCTCTTTCCTTTATAAATTACCCGGTCTCAAATATTACTTCATAGCAGTGTGAGAACAGACTAACACAGTAATGTTACGTTTTTTCCCCTCCTTCATATTTTTTGGGGGGTGGG